TAAGACGGGACAAAATCGAGTTGTCCTGCCATCAAGGCTGCCAGCAGAGGGTAGAGGTGGAGAGAGGGGGAAGAAGTAGAGGGAGAGAGAGAGGCTAAATGGAGGAGGAAAGCAAGGGGAGAGGGGGAAGCGGTGGAAGGAGGGTGGAGGGGGAGGGAGGGCGTTGTGAAGAGAGAGTTACCGAGAGGATTCGAGTAATTAATTCCTAAACCGAGATCAAAAGGCCACCCTCAGGTTAACCTCAATCTAGTCGTCCCGAAAACCGCTGACGCCTTGTGTACAGGCAAGGAGGGCATGGGAGCGCAAGGCGAAGGCGAGGCTGCCGACGTAAGACATGAAGTGAAAGATTTACATCGATGTTTTTCCTTTGCTTCCTTTCATAAACCAAGCAGCTTCCCGAGGGGAAAAACATACAAATAAACAGATAAGTTCGCGAGCAATTCCGCCTGCAAAATAGAGAGCAAGTCGCAGCGCCTCTTCGCTTCGCCGCCACAAGAAGGGTTTAATCAGCAGCCGCGCCGTCCATCCCTGCCTCGTGGTCGCAGGCGGTTCTTTCTCACGGCAGAATTCACTTGCCCGGCAATTTACACGCTGCTCCGCACAGTCCTCTTACTTTCCTCTGAGTCGACATAAACTTGGCTCGCGGCTGGGGTCGGAATTAAAGCCGCGGAATCATATCACAGCATTGGGGCCGCTCCAAAGGCCTCCCCCCCAAAGTGCGGTGATTGCGCTTCTCGGGGGCGCGGACACGGGCGCCGCGGACGAGCGAGAGAGAAAGTGTTAGGCAATCAGAGACGGATGAGGATGCGAGTCGGGGGCATCCGGGCCCCCCGTGTACACTACGGGGGAGGGGGGTCTGATGTGTATGTGTATGTGTATGTGTATGTGTATGTGTATGTGTATGTGTGTGTGTGTGTGTGTGTGTGTGTGTGTGTGTGTGTGTGTGTGTGCGTGCGTGCGTGCGTGCGTGCGTGCGTGCGTATGTGTTTATATATTTGACATGGCTGCAATGGATAAAGAGAGGAACTCTATTTTTCTATCTGTTCATCTCTCTACCTATCTACTACTACACATACATATCGTCACAAAAACAAAGACAGACCGGCACTCGCTCCTCCTCCTCCTCGGCCAGCACAGCCTCTGAGCCGAGAGACTGCCTGCCGCATCGCTAGCCGTTTTCCTCCCTCCCCAGACGTGTTTCTCGGAAGGACAAAGAAAAGTCGGGGCGGCGTCCTGTAGTCAAGGGGCGGTCGTTAAACCCCAGGGAGTGTCTTACCAACTCTCCTCCTCGCTAAAGCATCCGAGACATAGATGGACTTTATGATGATATTAGCAAAATTCCATCAATGGCCCAAGGTGGATTTACTCGTCGCCTCTTGGCTCGATAATGTTGTTTGCTATCTCCGGTGTCATTGTTCGAGTCATTTTTCTTGCCAGAGGCAAAAGAAAATCCAAGCGGTTTCTGAATGCATTCGAAAAAAATCATCCTCAAGGCAGTTAATGGCAGCAATATGTCAACATCATCCCTTCGATTGTACCATGTCATCTGCTCTCCGAATCTACTGTCCTCTGCGGCCTTCGACACCTGGGCTGGAGATGCTCATTTCCGCAAGAAATGCTGCCGCAGACTTCCCTCGCTCTTCCTTAAAGCCCTGCCGGTGGTTCCAGTAACCTCCCATGGCAGGTCCTTCGGCCACCGCTACTCGGCCCCTGCTATACTGGGCCTTTGGAGGGGCTCTGCTGTCCCCTCCACGGCCTGGGACCACGAGCGCCGCCCTCCTTCGAAACCTTTAGCCTTTCTCAAGAGAGGCTGAAGGGTAAGGGTGGTGGTGGTGGTAGGGGGGGGGGGTTAATTCACTAAATGCTCATTCTGCGTCCTTAACCTTGGCGCTGAATTATGAGGTCGGCCATTAATTCTCGTTATGAACACGAAACTTAATTGCATGCCGAAGTCCCTGAGCAATTGCATTCCGGTGCAATTGTTCGAATGTTATTATCTTTTTTATGAATAGTAATGTCAAAGTTAGCGATCCTAACTAAGCGAACTATGCAAACCTTTACCCTTTCTCATTACCAACGTCATGTTTAAAAAAAGCAAATTAGTAAGGAACACAATAATTTATCAACAAAAGTAATAGCTACGCATGCGTATCTTACCCTTCTCGACCAAATTCAGACCTCTCTTGTTCGACCGCTCAAAACAAAGCTGAGAGTCCTCAGCTGCTGTGCATTTCGACGACACGGACTTCAACACGAAACAGCAGGTGAACATGCAAAAATCTCGCATCACGTAACCGCGACCGCCAGCTCTCCCCGCCCGCCCGCCCAACGAAAATAACTCTTCCCACACCCCCACCCCCCGCCACGGGTCCCCCACTCTACTCACGGCAGGATAACAATGACTCTTATTATCAACATCCTGCCATCGCTGAGAAAGGTAACCTGACCGAGGGCAATACAGAGCTACGTCCATGGCACGCCGGAGGGCCGAGGGCTGGAC